TGGAGTAGCCCTAAAGCACTTGGCCCTTCTGCTGCCCCGTGGACTCTTTGCCTCTTACCCAGGTACCTGGGAGGCATCTTTGGCAGCTGTTCAGAGGGAAACCTGCCAACTGTTGAGTCATTGGAGGCACTCCCCATCGCCACCTTTCTTGACACAGTGCCTATGGTTTCTCTGGGCCAAGCCAGGCCCCGCCTGATCCTGTTTGGCTTGTGTGCTCTGCCAGGAACCTCGCCAGGGGCCCCCAATGCCTTCCAGGTCAGTACAAAAGATTGGTCCCTTCTCATGCAGGTGAGGCCCCCACTGATGTCAGTCCAGTCTTGGGAAGCAGGTGGCAGGTGTGTGTTGCAGTGTGGCTCTGGAACACAGCTCTGCTTGTCCTCTCTTAGCACGTGGAAGGACTCCCAGAGGGATGTGGAGTTTCCGTTGACATCCCAGAGGTGATGAAATCTGCTGACTTCTAAACCATTGCATGAATACAATAAAGAAAACATCTACCACAATTTAAAAACAAAACAAAACAAAACAAAACAAAAAAACAACTTCACTAGCAGCAAACTTGCAAGCTGGCAGCTGTTGGCATTTATTAAACACTTGAGGGTGTGCCAAGAAATGGCTTTTTAGAAATTAAACCATGGCATCATTACAAAGACCCTAAATCACTGAAGAAGTAAAGTAGTTCAGTCAGTCAACTCTACTCCGGTCCGTTTTAGCTCTGCATGTGGCAATATCTAAAACACTTCTATTCTCCAAGTTTTTGACACAGAGTTATTTCATCAGCGTTGCCTCAATTCAATTTCATATCATAGGAAAGAGTGAATTCAAGTGGGTATTCATTCCTCCTTTACAAGCAAGGACACAAATACAGGCTCAGAGAATGTAAGGGAATTAAAAGAAGTGAGTGCTGAATTTGGCAACTCAAGTAGGTGTTCTGATGCCTACTCTGGTCATCTATCCTGTAGTGAGCTGGAATATATGTATCCTAAAGTACACTAAAGTTCTTCCCAGGGAGCTTGCTCTAGTTTGCCTGTCACTGTGATTAAAAAAAATAAAGTTGACAAAAAGCAACTTAGAGAAGAAAGGGTTTATTTTATCTTATGTTTCTAGGTCAGCCCATCACTGAGGTAAGCTAGAAGCAGAAACCTGGAGGTAGATCTGAAGCAGAGACCACAGAGTAACTAACACTGCTTACTGGCTTGCTGACTATGATTTGCTCACCTTTACAGCTCAGGTCTACCTGCCTAGGGATGGCACTGCCTACAGTGGACTGGGCCCTCCTTGCATTTCAGTCATCAATTAAGACAATTCCCACAGACCAATCTGATATTTGCATTTCCTCATTTGAGGGCCCTTCTTCCTAGGTGACTCTTGTCTTCACCTAAGTTGCTTTTGGTCTGAGTATTGCATCACAGCCACAGAAATGAAACCAGGACAGGACTCTTCATAAGGATTTTCATTTTGTTTCACAGCAAAAAACAGGAATTTGCTTAAGGAATCAAAGACTGTCTATGTTTTGCATAGACCTAAATATATTCTGCTGCACTTTCTTGTGCCTCCCTGTGAGGCACAGGGTTGTGTGACTTCCAGTCTTCATTTATCCTGGGGAGGGTTAGGTCTTCAGTGAGGAGTGAGGACATGTGTGTCCTTCTCCTTGGACTCCAAGTGTGTACTCTTGGGTTTGCTATCCTCTGGTTGAGGCAGCTCTGAACACGCAGGGCTAACACTGCCCTTTGGCCTCCCTGCACCCAACTTCAGTCCTTCTCAAGTCCTCTGCTGGAACAGCATCATGGTGAGTCCTGCCACCATCCTTGCACTTTTCTCAGTTGTGCCCTGGATTGTCACATGTGTCCATCCCATTACACTCCTCCAAAGACAACAATGTTTCTTAAGCCTAAGTGTTGTACTCTTTCTTTGATTCCAAGAACAAGAAAAAGAACAATAACAAAACACCTGTATTCTCCACCATCATCACTCTGGTTCAGTCAAAATAAAGTCTTCCTTCCTTCCTTCCTTCCTTCCTTCCTTCCTTCCTTCCTTCCTTCCTTCCTTCCTTCCTTTCTTTCTTCCAATCTCATTGCCTGAAAATTAGCATTGTAAAATGAACTATTCAAAACTCCTGAGGGTAAAATTTATGAAAGCAAGCAAACTTGCAATGGAAGTGTAACCAATGTAACAAAACCCTATTCATTTGATGTGGCAGACAGGGCTACTTATATTGCAAACACTGCATCTGCATGGAATATGACTGTGGTTAGGCCACACAGGGCAGAACCCATTGGTGTTTATGCCACTGCCTTGTGCTTTGTGTAGATCCTCGATTCTCTTGTCCCTTTATGCCACCCAAATAGAAGCTGGGGAGATGTCATTCATTTACTATTGGCTTACCAAGCATTCGCTTGCCTGTGAAGACCTCCTGTTTGTTTCTCACTCTCTCAGAGTAATTTAGATTTAGTGTCAACATGATAAAGACTGAAAGAAGAATAGACAATGGGAACTCAGGGCACTCTCCGGTCATCAGATGATGAGATATCCCAGAGTTTTTCAAACCAAGTCACATCCCAGTGGTGGACTATGAAGTCAATTTAATGGGCTGTAAGAAGCACCTTATAAAAGAATGGTACAGAGGACAATGCCAATTATCACATTGTATCAGAGTAAGTATTCAGATATGTACTATACTGTGTTAATTACTTTACATCTCTTTGACCAATACCTGACAGAAGCAACTTTAAGGAAGGAAAAGTTTACTTTGGCTCATGGTTTCAGAGAGTTGAGTCCATGGTCATTTGGCTCCATGCACTGGGGCAGAGCATCATGGTTACCGAAGCTTTGCTTCTTGGTGCATACAAAACAGGATGCTGGCACTTTTTTGGGGGGGAGGGTGTAGAGGCAGGGTTTCTCTGTGGCTTTGGAGGCTGTCCTAGAACTAGCTCTTGTAGACCAGGCTGGTCTTGAACTCACAGAGATCTGCCTGCCTCTGTGTCCCGAGTGCTGGGACTAAAGTCCCGGCTGGATGGTGGCACTTTGCTGGCTTTCATGTTTCATCATTTTACTCTGCCTTGTTACCTAGGATGGTGACACCCACATTCAAGGGAGGCCATCCTCTTCCGCTAATTCTCTCTAAAATCATCCTTATAGAAATATTTAGAATTGGGCCTCACCAATCTCCTAGGTGAGTCTAAATCAAGTGGAGTTGATATTGTGTGAATGTGTGTGAGTACACCAAAATATGCAGGTGTGACTGATCCAAATAGAAACTGGTATCAGCTTTGGGACAAGACCAGAGACAACCACTTTGGTGGGGTGAATAATGGTCTCTAAAGATACCAGGTTTTGGTTATTAGGCCACATCAATGTTATTCTATAAAGAAAAAAAGGGTCTTTGCACATGTGACTAATAAACAATATTAGGTTATACTGGATTACAGGGGATGTGGATGTGCAATCTCAGGTGTTCTTTATTTTTACATGTGTGTGTATGTGTATATATACATGTGTATATAAGCACTGGTGTGGAGGCCTGCAGTTGGCATCAGGTGTCTTCGTTGCTTCCCACTGAATACTACTGAGACACATTCATTTGCTCAATATTTCAGCTAGTCTAACTAGCCAGAGTTACCTGTCTGGGACAAGATCTTTACTTCCTGAATCATTTCCCCAGTCCTATGGACATTCTTATAAAAGAAAGGCGAAGGAAATCTGACCCAGGCAGAAGTGTGACCTGTTGATAGTTTGGTTGGGCCCAGTGAAGCCAACTTCAGGCTTATTGCCTCTAGGACTGAAAGAATACACTCCAGCTGCTTCAAACCACCAAGCTTGCAGTAATTTGTTACAGTACCACAGGAAACAAATCCCTGCCCTCCTTACTTACTTCTGGTTGTTTTTTGTGTAGTTGGGGGAAATCTGAGAGGAAGCACCAAGACTTTGTCGGGAGGGAGGTGATACAATGAAAGCTAGTTAACTCAGTCATTTAACAATTACCTTGGACTATTTCTATATTTTCACACCTGGTCCAGCTGCCCTGGCCTAGGCTGCCAGCCTCCAGTGCTGTTTGTGTGTACACAGCAATATATGAAAACGAGGTCATGGTGTGAGATGGATTCCTTCTGTGGGTGACTGCTCAAAAGAAGGTCACTGATTCAGATAACCTAGAATATGCTTTGACAAACTCTTTTTAGGTCACTGTCACCATGTCAAGCCTAAGGTTGAATATTCTCATGGAGAACCTATGGACTCCCAAGATCCATTTATAGACACAGAAGAACCTATGGGCCCTGGTTTGAGAAACTCAGCTAAAAGCTTTTCCTTCTAGGGTCTGCCAAGGAACCTGTCTCTTATACCTTAAGCCTCAACTGTGTGGGCTCACCTCTCATGGGCTATACCCACCTGCCCTCCCTCCTCCGGTTGTTCTTGGCACCTATTCACCACCATGGTGCCACCCACACAAGGTTTCTGACTACTGAAGATCCCACCCTCTGCTGTACAGGTTGGGACCCACCCTGGCCACCTGTCCTAACCTCACGCTCTCCTTTCAGCTTCACAGACTTCTTCTCCAGTGAGGTCCAGGCCAATGTAGACCAGAGACTCAAAGCACTGAGTTATTCTAATCCTGGGGTCTTAGAAGCAACACTGTTTTTTAAAACTCCAAGTTTTAAGAACACGAACTCCGAGATCCAAACAATGCCTTTCTCTGGAACTTGTTTTCAGTTCTTTACTTCTCAAATGCCAGCCCATCCCACTCTAACATAAAGTTACCCAAATCCTTACCCAATTAGTGGAGGTGGCGCTTGTACCTAAAACATTTTTGTCTTCACTAAAATTCTTTGTCAGCATTGGGCCCTTTCTGCCCTGCTCCATCCTAGGTGGGTTGATTGTTATTGATGATAGTTATGCCTCTCTCACAGCAGAAACAGCTTGAGCAACAAGCCCCTGATTGCCTCCCAAAGCTTCCCACACATTTCTCAACTTAGGTCACATCTGAGCCAACTCTGCCTTGAGTCTACCTGAAGTGGCTTCTCTGAGCTGAAGTCTCTGCATGACCCAGGTGTCCTTTCTGGAAAGACCACATCTTTGCACCTGCACCTGCCAACCATAATAGTGACAAACATTACCCAAGTTTCTAGAGCTCTTTAAACGCTGTCATGTACATCCGTTCATCTGATCCTACCACAATCTTGGGAATTGTTTGTGTTTGCATAATCTTATTTTATAGGTTTTAAGAAAAAACACTAAAGAGTTTGAAGGACTCGTGACACTACTGGTAGAGTAAACAGCAGAGCTAGCCTTTGGACTCTGTCTTTGACTCTAGGTCCTATCCACTTAACTACCACTCCACCTCTTTGCCTTGTGCTTTTTGTACAGTGAAACTAAAACAAAGGACAGAGATTCTGTCTGTCTTTCCAACAGGGCTGTTAGCCTTAGTTACACCGAATCATGTTCTCCTAAAGTTGAATGAGTTTATTTCTACAGCAGACCTCCCGCTACGGGTTGGCAGCATAAATGAAAAACCTATACACCCAGAATAGAATATGGGTCCCTGAGACTATCTCCCCACTATTTTGAGACTTCTTGGGTCCTAGAAAGGTTGATGGCTGAATTCTTAAACCCAACTTTTTAGAATCCAGTCCTATAGATCTCAAAGTCATGAGATTTGGGGTCAGACCCAAGGTAGCAAACTCATTCCACGTCCCAGCTGTGTCTATTCTTTCTGTATGTCTCACTTATTTAGAGGACAAGAACCTGATGCATTATTTTCAGGGATCCCTTTTCAAAAGCTCTGCAGAATATCAAGATGGCAAAAGTAGAGCATTAAAAGGGGTTTATGGGTACAGAGGATCTCTCTTCCTTTTGTGCCTTCAGTGTACCCTGTGGGTAGAGTCAGATTCATATCCAAATCTCTCCCAATTACTGAAGAGAAATGAGCTTCATCTCACAAGGCTGGGTATACACACGTCGAGGATCTCTCTTCCTTTTGTGCCTTCAGTGTACCCTGTGGGTAGAGTCACATTCATATCCAAATCTCTCCCAATTACTGAAGAGAAATGAGCTTCGTCTCACAAGGCTGGGTATACACACGTAATGGAGTTGGCAAATCCTTCCAACCTTCTGAGAGCTGTTTGCAGTCATCATTTCACTAAACCTTCACCATGACCCTTGAAGGGGGCATCTTGTCCCCATTTAGAGATGGTGAAGCTGACTTGTGGCTTCATGGCTTGTGGCTTATTCTCATAGGAAGTGGTAGACATAAGATTTAAGTACAATCATCCCACCAAACAGAAGAAAATATTATACAGCTGAGGAAGTTGAAGCTCCGATCGGTTAGTCAATTGTCTACCCATCGTCATAAATGTTGCCAGGAGGCAGCTGAAGCCTGGTCTCCAGGGGCTTTCCCTCACCAGAAGCTCTTCCCAGGAGCCTTCTGCATGCCTGCCCATGCTCGTCCTTCTGCCCTTGGCAAGAGCCTTGAACCAGGAACTAGATACAGGTGTTAGAAGGAAACCTCCATTGTTTGTTGAGTGATGGGTCCCTACGTGCAAACCTTCAGGATTCCCAGAAGAAGGCTGTTATAACTCTGACATAGGGATGGCTCTACCCAGCAGAGGACCTGAGATGGAAAGCCCAAGTGTGTTAAGCCATGGCCATTCAGAGCCATTCTTTGCAACCCTTCTTGAGAAGAAGCTCAGACTTGGGCCCCACTTCATAAGCCAGGAAGCCAAAGGATGCTTTTCCTCTTATATTGTGGCTTCCTGCATCTGCCTTAGGTCCACCTCACTCCTACCTCCACCTCCATGCTTGGCATGCAGTCCAGGTATACCCGCTAAGCCCTTCCCTGTAACTCCCTTATCCTGGCCTCCAAGCCTCTGGCCATGTGAACAAACCAGAGCAAGAATCCTCTTTGAGTGACCCAAAAATGGTGACTATGGACACATTCCAATATGAATTGAGGAGGTAACTTTAGAGGACAAAGCTAAATTTCCCAAGGCACCTCTCTGATTGCCAGCATCCCAATGGGGATCAGACCTGTAAAATTTAGATGATTTCACTAGAAAATTGTCACAACAGACCTTTGGTCATCATTGTCATCGTGGTCACTGTTTTCATCATGAGCAACAACCTGTCCATTCTTATTTATGTGCTTATTTGTTTATTTATTTTAAATATTAACCATGGTTTCTCTCCCTCCTCTCCTCCAGTTTCTTCCCCTACTTCCTTCTACCTCTTCCCCATCTACTCCTCCTCTATCTCCATTCAAGAGGGATAAACAGCCTGTC